TTTTCCGCAGTCTCTCTCCTTGCGGCCCGGAAGAGGGAAAATTGACGAAGCCTCGACTACTCGAGTGGTGGCCGCGCGACTTGGAAATGCGCGACTCCGATAAACAATCGCGAGATTTACTCGCGGCGAAAGCTCTGCTGCGGCTGCACGAAAATTTGTCGCGCGTCGGCCCCGCGCGTGCAAGGGGGGAGGGTGGTAATGCGCCTTTGTTTTCTCTCACCCGCAGTACATATACACAATTTACGTGGCGGAAAGCCGACGCACACGTATACACGTATACGTGTATAACACACGGACGAAGAGTCGGTGATTTATTCGCGGCGCATAATTGGTCCATTTCGCATGGCGCTCGTGCATCCCGAGCTTTACGCGCTGCAGGCAGCCTTGGTTCGCGCGAGCGCAAATCTACGTAGATCTAAACACACACACATACAGAAATGCCGTGTATATACGAGCGTGTTTATATGCATCCACGCGTGTGTCTATACAATAGTCTCACCGATATGTCGGGGCGCGACTGATGTCAGCCGCGAGAATTACATTCTGTGCGCGCCTTTTTGTGTGTGTGTTTCGTAGCGGCATCGGCGCGCGATTCTCGATGGATGGGCTTATATTGCACCTCTTTTTATCCGAGAGGTGCCGCGCGAAGGTTGGCGAGCGTGTGTGTGAGGGTGGCGACTCGAGTGAATATATATAGAGAAAAAACAAAAGGCCACGTTCGGCTCGGCGACTTTTCAACTTTTCTTTTTCCTTTTTTTTTCCGGTACAACCGTATATATAAGCCGCGAGTCGGTGATAAATTTTGATCTTTTCGCCGAGATTAACTTATATAACTGGATTCAACGAAATAAATCCACTTTAATGTTCAGCCCCAGATATCAAGCCTGCGGATCGTTGCCGGGCTTTTCGCGCGTAGCAGCAGCAGCTAAAGATATCCGAGCCGATAATCGAGAGGCGTGGAAAAAAATGAAAGAATGTTTCTAAATCATTGCTATTTTCAGCTGAAATGATAAATAATAAAAAAATTAATTCGTTATCTCGTATCGAGAATGGGTATAGAAATCAGCATGATATCAACTGGACCCCTCCGAATTGTTCTTAGGGTTCTTCGTGGGTGCGAGAAAAAACAATTGAACATGACAATTGAAGATTTCCCCACCTTCATGATGGTGTGACGACAGATTTCCCGAAATTTTTGATGTTGATAATTGTCAAGCCTTTTTTCTACAAATCTGGAACTAGTAAACATTTTTAAACAAAATTTTACCGATATTTTTGAAACATTCCTTCTTAACGACTAATCAATATCAAACTATAAAAAAGATTAAAGACACACAATCATAGATTTTTCACAGAACCATCTCTGTAAATGTGGAAGCGAGCTATAAACTAAATATGCATTACTTGTGATCGAATGCTGAAGCATTTGAAGTGTCCCACTCACCAAAAAAAAGTAAAACAGCAAACAAAAACGTACACAGATGAGGAAAAGAAGTCGCTATTGTCGAGTTTAAGACAATTATGTTAAATGCAGAGCGAAATATAGCTTTTTTTATACATGGATTTTTTAATGCCAAAATTGGAAGAGAGTTGTGATGATTCAAAAATTTTTAAAAATATGGAATTATGTCGAAGACGAACTGCTAATATTATTTGCGACGTTATCGGACCAGCAGCAAAGGCACAACTGAGAGAAATTTTAAAAATTCAAAATTTAGTATAATAGTCAACGAAAGTACCGATATAATAGTAGAAAAATCGATGTGTATCATAGTACGTTACTTGGATGCAAAATTGAAAAGATATATAGAATTGATGTGGGACTTAATAAAAGTTTACGTCAATTCAGAGTTTTGTTGCGATGCAGAGCAATCCTCTGATTGGATTATAAATTGATTTGACGGTATTTTGTTGAATAATATTATCAGTTTTTGTTCAGACACGTGCAACGTGACGATGGGCGGAAAAGGCTCTGTTGCAATAGAACTGAAAAAAATTATCCCGCAAATCATCATAGTCAAATGCAGTTGCGAAAATTTATGCGCTCAAAGAGCAATTTCCTGTAATCCAGATAAGTATGAAAATCTGATAAATTCCATATACAAGTACGTTAATTCGAATAGTTTCGCAAGATTTTGACCGTGGAAGTGTATACAAGAAGAAGAGGACTTAAAAGCCACACGAATTTTGAGACCTGCTTTAACTTGGTGGCTGTCATACTGCAGTTGTTTACGTTGTATGCTCCGTAAATGGACAATGTTATGGACAATAATGGGTTAAACGAGTTTAAACCTTTACTAGGAGAGAGCTTCATCGAGACATTTATAATTAATTTTTATATAATTACTAATATAAGGAGCTGGACTGATGTTTCCTTCATTCCGATGAACACCAGTACATGGATTTTGGGAAATAAGAGGAATTTAACGCTCAACCCCGATTGTATATATGAAATTGAATGCGATTTCAAAGGCATTGTGTTTATGCCTTACATATTCCAACACCACTGTTGCCTTTTAATTTTAGACTGCAACAAACAGGAAATCAGTCATTACGATCCACAGAAAACTCAATTTTCAGATCTTGAGTCAAAGATTTTTTTTAAATACTTGAAAAATGTAGTAATAATAAACTCAAAAATTTTAAATGGAAGATAAATTGTCAAAGCGCATGGCATTCCTATTCAAGCAGATTTGTATTATTGCGTTATATATGTCATGAAATATATGAATTTCATAGCATAAATTATAATAATAATAATTATTCGTTAGAATGTCCAGATTATTATAGAGTCATATTGGCTCAAACTATTATTCAAAATTCTTTATCTCTTGCAGGGTGTATCGCTTGTGACAATAAAAATCAAGTTTTATCGAGTTTTCTGAAAACATTGGGGTAGAGTGTGCAGTCGCCTATAGATAGCTAAACTTAACTGCTCAACTTAACTACTTTCTTTGAAAGAATCAAAATTATTTGGTTTGTGCCACCGCTAGGTGACACAAACGCTTTCAAGCACTTTCGAGGGCGAGTTTTACAATTTTTAAGCGTCGAACGTCGCTCGTGGACTTTTCGATTCGACCAGTTTAGTCGAAATGTCATTCGACAGTGACCGCTCGATACAGCAGCATTCGATCGAAAAAAATATGCCCATGGCAAGTCCAAGGTTGCGCTGGGAAGCTTAGATCGGTTTTGGTTTTCATTATTGAAATTGACAATTTTCTATTTTTTTTTTTTTTTGAGAGAGAGAGCGATAGAGTGAGCGATTGAGAGAGAGAGAGTGATTATTCATATATAATTATTGACTTTTTTTTTATTACATTCAACAAGAACACTCAAATATACAGAAAAACATTAAATTCAATAATATCTGTGATTTGAGAGGGATAGGTTGTTTAAATAATTATTGTTTTGCAGACGATACGCACGGAAGAACAGCGCATACTGGATGACGAATTCCCCATCTACATCTGAAAGTGTTGTCCCCAGCGACATTTGGCGCTCGATCATCCTGGCTTCCAGAAAAAGTCGCTTCATAGTTTTCCCTGCAACAAATAAACAATTTACTTATTAATACAGGCTCACTCACAAAAACAAACGAATTAAAATCATTGTTTTGAATTTTTTTTTATAATTAGGTTAGTTGAGTTTAAATTCTTTATATAAAAATGAAATGAACTTGAAAGAGTTCTTGATTTAGATTTAATGAAAATATAAAATTTTAAAAATTATATTACATTTACAAGTGAAAAATCTACAGCTAAAAATGTCGTCAAGGCCTCTGAGGTGCGGCATTTCCAAATACTAGGTTAAAATCGGCCTCGTCTTCTCGTTCGATGGCGTTTGAATGCTCCAGCTCGAATTTTCTTGCTCCGAAATCGAGAGCATCGTAAAATCGGAGTTTAACTTCCTCAAGCTCCTCCGCGTAAATCAATACAAATTTTCAACTACTTCGCGTAAATCAATACAAATTTTCTCCAAATTTGAAGTCATATTTGTCGCAGAAAAATGAAAAAGTTTGTCTACAAGATTCTTTATTCTGTGTTGCATAGAGAATGTCATTATGGATTTGATGAATCAAGTAATGATAACGACATCTCTCAAAGTGGAGGGCCAACTTTCTCATTTGAGAATCAACATTTAAGTTACTGCTACTCAACAAAAATAGATAGTAAAACTATTTGAGTTCAAATAGTTTTCCTTTCATCGCCAGGTGGCTCCAACTCTCAGCAACGCTCCCGCAAGAGAGAAAGCAGAGATGCTGGCATATTAGCATTAGATAATTTATTAAAATTTTACCATTTATATTACGATCATTAAATAGATTTTCCCCACTCTAACCTAAAATACGCAACTTTGCCGCTAATTTTAGGCTCTCGTAGGAAAAAATATTATCTCAAACTGGTGCAGATATGGTTTTTTAACAAAACTCGTTACAGCACTCGCCTTCGGCTCGTGCTATAATCCCTCGTTTTGCTAAAAAACCATATGTGCACCCGTTGAGAAATATACTATTTATTTTATATAATCATGATAAAATTAAATTTAAGTAAAGTATACGATGTAGCTGGCCGAAGTCACGATCAGTCAAACTTGGGCTATTTCTCATTCTCTCCAAAAAATGATTATTTTTATTTTGCCTTGCGAATCAAAAACAAGATTGCAGCTCGTAGGCGCACATAGGGGCTCACGCATAGGCAGTTCTTGTTGTTTTTTCCACCGCTGCCTATCGTTCGCTGTCTCTCATTCTCTCATTCGTAATACAAGATGCACCGGTTCGATTTATTCCTCGCAACGAAAGATGGCGCTACCGAACGCGCAGCTCGACTGTCATCAAAGGCTGCTTTGTACACGCTATATGCATAGTCGAGGATATCGTGTTAACAAGGTATGTATCATTATATAGATATATAGGCACGAGTTACGCGCAGTTGGCGTGTGAGGCAAGCAATCGAAAATAATGCTAAACGCTGACCAGTAGTAGTGGAGTTATCATGCGTCAGTCGAGTCGAACAAAGAGAAACAAAATAAGAACTGCTAAATTAATCGGATTTCAATTATGCGTCGAGTACGCAGCCCGACGTTACGATTAGAACAGAGATCGTTCGCTCGATTGCAGTTGTCCGCGTGATTTTCTTTTTCATCTCTTTGACGTAGTTGGACACGATGCGACAGTTCGTTCTCGCAATTTTATTAGTTTTAACTCTTGCACAGAGTTACAGGTCGAGCTCGGTACTACAGTGCAAAGGAGAGAAAAATCAAGATGTGGATTGGTAAGTAAATGATGGAATTTAACAAAAATTTAACATCGAAGCTTATGTGAATCAAGTAATACCATATGTTTTTGATAAATAATTTGTTCAACTTCAATACTCGATGTAGTGTAGCATAAAATGAATATTTGTACATTTTCAATTTTGCTGAGCACAGGATAATTTAGTTTATTATTTATATTGATCAATAATCAATGATAATTAAAATAAATAAAACTATAAATTTATATAATAAATAAACCTGTACTCCATTAATTAAAAAATTGAACCTAATTCATTAAAATCGTATCTTTTTACAGGTTTTTGTTGTACAAACTACCCAGATTACCAAAAAGTAGTAACAAATTGATAAAACAAGGAGTAGCTTATTTATACATGGATAGCAGTAGTTACAAATACGGATGGACGTTATCCAGCAAAGACATAAGTAAAAACAATTCGATACCAGCTTATACCCTGTCGCAGTTTTACGATGACGTGAGTTATCTACCACTTCAAAATTATACATATGCAACGATCTATAAGCACCAATTGTGTTTATCGAAATTTTCCGTACGCAGAAAAGCGCGGCTGACTCTCTGTGGATTTTGTACAACGACCAGCCGCCCAATCTACCTGCCAGACTGACCAACGGTCACGCCAAAGGCGCAGTGATCACCGATGGAAAGGAGGGATTCTGGCTGATACACAGCGTGCCGAATTTTCCGCCTCGGCCGAACACCGGCGAGGACGTGTCGCGATCGAAGACCGACAAAGTTGAATCGGGAGTACGAGTCGATCGCACCGATAAGGATTACCCATCGGGCGGATACTCGTATCCGTCCTCGGGACGAGCCAACGGCCAGAGCTTTTTGTGCGTGTCCACGAGCGAGGAGAGCTTCAACTCGATCGGCAAGCAGCTCATGTACAATCAGATCGTCGTCTACAGGCGAAACATGCCCAAGCAGTTGATCGATAAATTCACCACGCTGGTCGACGCGGCTAAACAAGTGCGCGTGAGGAGTCCGCCGTACTATCGTATGGCCAATTTTAACTCTAAAAATGGAATGAAATTCACTTCGTTCGCGAAGAGCAGCAAGTGGGACAGAGGTGAGAATTCTAATACACGCGATTCGATAAGTGTGAAAATTTACTTGGTTTTTTTCATGTCGCAGATTTGTACGATGATTTCGTCGCCGTAGAATTGAATGCCGACCTCTACACCGAGACTTGGATGAACGGACGTGGAAAACTACCCTCGGATTGCAACGCTACAAGGTGAGACGATTGTTCTATTCTTTTTTATCGCCTCATCGACAAGATATAATTATAACGAATTGAATCTACGCAGGGTCATGAACGTTCAATCGATATCTCTGCCGAAAGCTGGCGTCAGCTTCAAGAGCACCCACGACCATTCCAAGTGGGCCGTATCCATCGATGGTAAAAGCGCGCGATCGTGGGTGTGCGTCGGCGACATCAATCGCGCGGTAGGTTGAAATGGAAATTCAACGACTCGCGTGCAATTTTGCGTTTGTTTCGAATATTTCTTGGCTCATATTGTAATATTATAGGACACGCAATTCGAGCGAGGTGGAGGAACAGTTTGCCTGAACTTACCCGAGGTTTGGAAAAGCTATCGCGACTCCGTGGACGACGTCGAGCCATGTCCGATGAAGCGGAGAGGTGGACTTTTCAAACGCATCGAGTCCTGGATCGGATGACACAAACACTCAACCACGACACACAATACTCAAATTATTCACTAAGCACTCGATGAAGGATATTTTTGATACAAACGAAATAAATTAGTTACACTTTTACTCTACTCATGTGTTCACTTTGACGATGCAATAAAAGTTTATTTGTAAACATTATCTCACAACTTACATAGAGCTCATCACTCTTTGTCGACTTACGTTAGTATCAACGCTTGGGAACAAAATACGATACACAATTTTGCGCGGGTTGCTGCGATGATGATTCAACTGTAACCTACTTTCAAAATCGAAACAACTGCAGTCGAACGAGCGCAGCAGTTTGCACAACTCTTCTTGCATTCAGCACTAATGTATCAATGAATCAACGAGATACTTATCTTGTAAATGAATTAATCTTCAGACATATTCCACGTTTAAGAGCGGTTTGACAAAAAGACACTACCAACCGACGGTAATAATTCAAATCGCGTGAGCTCGCGAATTGGATCGATCGTTCGAGCTCACGCGTGCACACACCGGACTGGAGCCGGCAACCGGCTCATAACATTGCAATTGGCGCTTTAACAGTTTGAGGTTACAAACACGACGAGATCGCCCCGAAAAGTTTTCATGTACCAGTCGACTGTGTGTGGACATTCAACTGAGTGAATGATACCCCGTTCAATTGTGCCTATTTTTGTGTTGATTGTTGACCTGTTAGGAGTTTTACTGTTTGTAAAGTGATTAAAAAAATAATAAAAATGACGAGGCACGATTTTAGGGTGAAAGTCGACCTGTCTCGCGTTTTCAAAGACGCTCGACGATACAGCTGGATATTCGTCGATAGCACCAAGATTTTCGATGTCAGGCATTTGGCGAATCGTGTGCAGGAGGTTTTCGGTGTGAGTCAGCCCTTTCATCTGTTGTCGACGCACGAGGACACCAATGTTTTTCTGCCCTTGGACGAAGATGTCAGGGTGTTGGAAAATAATGACACTGTTCTGTAAGTTGTTTTTGGCAACCTGTTATCTTTGTACTCTTGGTTGAATATCTAATTATGAATTTAATGTTGTAGGATTGTACCTGGTACTGGTATCAATGAGTCTAGTGAAGTAAGTAGTGGAGTAAAGAGAGGAATGAACTATGAGGAACTGGAAAAAGACATTAGTGTCAAATATAAACATCCACGTCATGATCCTGAATTAAATTTCCCCAATGGTTTTGAAAAAGAAGAATTTGAGACAAGCAAAATAAGTCAAAATTTAGATGCATCTACTCCATATTTGTCGGATAAGTCATACATGACTACAAACAATATAACAATTAATAAGACAGGTGTGTATTCAATAGTGGATTCTATGTCCCTTTCTGTAACGATGTGTTTTCTAATAATTAATTGCTTTTTACAGATCTGGCAGCAAATAGCTTTTATCGCACTGCTTTACATGACACAATGGAAGTTGAAACAAATGATTCTAAAATGGCTGTTAATGGTGACAACAGCGTCAATAGTGTGAATGATGATAGTTTAGTATCTACAAAAAGAAAAAGAGTTCGTTCAAGGAAAAAGAAGACAAAAGATGCAACTATATCTGAAAGTGATATATCCATGAATGAAACTAACAATAAAAAACCAAAAGTGGTTAGTTCTGTTTTGTTGCCATCTGGAAAACATATAAGGTTTGAAGGACTCGATGATGATAGTAGCGAATTTTCTGAATCTAACAATTCAACCATAAATACAAGTAGTAAAACACAAGTAAATGGTAGTAATGGAGTTAAGAATAATGCTGCCATTAAAAATGATTTATCAAATTTACTTAGTATGGGGCAAAGTTCAACACCTTTGACATTCTCTTATAAAAAACCAAGAAAAGAAATGAAAATAAGTGAAAAGTTGATTGAAGTCAGTGATAGTATGGAGTATCAAAACTTCAGTAATAAACAAGAAAATCAGAACTCCAGTATAAAACAAGCAAATGGGCAGGAAAATTCCCAATTGGCTCCTCCAGCAACACCTGAACCTGATACTTATTCCTTTAAGGTACACTATTTATCATTTAATTATACTTTAAAAGTTGATATTATTCATTTATATTGTTAAAATTTTAAACCTTAGGTCTTCAGAATATCAGAAAATTATACTCCTCAAGTGTCTAGCGTTATTCTAGGAAGAATTTTAGCTCGTTCTAAAGAAGGATCTCAATTGACAATGAAAATTTTACGTAAGTTGGTCAAATGCATGAGACTATATAAAGTTTTAAATAATTTTTTTCATAATGTTATATTTTTTAGATGGCAAAGACCAATTAAGAGATCCTGAGGGAAAATTTGCTTTACCAAAAGAAGATGAAGAAGATGAAGTTGACAAAGATAATGATATTATAACTATAGAGAAAGAAAAACTCTTAGAGTTCACTAAAATCAAAGCATTAGATACATCTCTATAAAATTTTTACAAAGACACAAGATTCTAAGTCTATGATGTTACAAATTTGTTTTTTCTTAGTTTTGTAAGTGATGATTGTGTTTTGTGTTTAACTTTAAGTAACATAACTCTTTGTGATAAAATAATTGCGATGACTCTTTAGAACTTTAAAGTTTATTCTGCTTTTAAGCATCTTTTCATCATAAAAATCTGTTTTTTAACAATTTTTAAGTGTAAAATATAAATTTACAGTCAAATACTAACATTTTATACTTTTAATTAAAAAGTATGTAATCTGTTCCTTCTTTTAAATCTAAGGACTTGAGATTTTCTTCAAATTTTCCATTAGTCATATCCTAAAAATGAGAGATTTTTAAATTTATGTAAATTAAATAACTGTGTAATAGTAAACCAAAATTCATACTAATTTAACACAAATAACAAATGGAGGCACTGCTTCCGAAAAATGTATAATAGGAATAGAATTTATAACTTTTCTTTGGTGAGAATCATAAGGTGCATATTTTTGTCCAATTTTTTTTTCATCAATGTCACATAGTGCTGTAACTTTGTTCTAAAATTTATTGCAAATAATTCTAATTAATACGAATTATATTTTTGATTAAAAGTGTTTTCTAAAAAACAACTCACTTGCAAATCATTATTTAATGCTCGATAAAAATGTCTTCCTTGTTTACCAGCATTCCAAATTGTAAAATTAGACCATTCACACAAGACTTGATTAATTAATCTACTCAGTCTTATTTTAAATATTGTTTCCCTGCAAAAAGTGATATGTATATTATAACTATTTGGTTACAATTGAAAGCATTAAAATACATTACTGTTTTATAGAAAATGTTGTTGCTTCAGGATGATATGTATAGTTCAAAACCACTTCATCAGTTCTCAGAACTTCTCCTTTGTTATCTAAATGTGAATAGAAAAATAGCAAGTCTTCTGGTGTTCCTTGTCCATTCTCACAAAAACCTCCAACCACACTAAAAATGTTGAAATTAGTTAATTATCTTAATAAATAAGTATGACTTAAATGTATATTAATAAACTAACTTTAAAAAAACATTTCTGTGACAAAACCATGTTGGCATTATTACAGTTGGTCCATGAGAAGTATAAATTTGAAGCCTTAACTGTTCTGAGCTTAAATTATTTGCCCATCGAGAAAATCTTTCTGTAGAGTTTTCTGGTACCCTCTTAAATCTTCCACCAACTATCTGAATGATTAATTCTGAATTATAATCAAAGTAGCTTTAACACGATTGCTCATACTTACTGCACTTTTATTTCTCTTCGCTAACTCATACTGAACTTGAATTCTTTGTGGATGCATAGTATCATCCTAGAAAAAAGGAACAACATTCAATATGGCATAATAATGAAAAATAGATGAATTAAAAATGCACTCAACAACATCTTGAAAACATAAGTATGTTCCAGTTGAAATTTCAATTGCTCTATTTTTTGCATAACCGACTGTAAACACATAAATGTCAAAAAAAACATTAATATCATAATTGAACTATTATGAAGCTGATATCATACCTCCTTTGGGTTTGCCTGAGAGATTTTTAAATACTTTCAGTGGTATAGACAATTTTTTCAATTTTTTTCCCCAACTTTCTAGATTGCTCAATGTTTTGTCGGTGCTTGCATCATCGCATACTGCTATTTCCAGATTAATCAATGATACAACGGTCTGATTAATAATAGAATTGAAGCAGGAATCAATCCAATTTTCTCCATTATAGATTGGTATAATTATTGACTGAAATAAATGTTTTATAAATAAGTCACGCACAACGAAAATTCAATTTTTTTAATAAAAAATACCATACCACTGTTGGTTTGTACATTTTCAAATCTCGTCAATCCATGGGAGTATTTCATGATCACAGAAACAAAAGATAATCTATTAATAGACCATCAAGTTTAATGTACACTCCTTATCAAAAATTCAACCATGTCTAATATGGTTTATGGAAAGATTTCAGTATACCTGGAGAGCATAATTATACTCTCATTGAGTACACTATTTGATGACATCTGCTACAATATAAACAAACAAGCTGTGTTATGATGCAGATTGTGTGTTTAGCGTGTCGAAGAAAGTCGATTATGTCGCTTGCAAGCACGATTCGTGCATTTTTTATCGTGCCTCGGAAACTGCGTTACCAACCACTGGCTACGTTATCAACGTCGCATATTCGATTTTGCGAACCGATATTTTCATCCTTGAATCTGCAGATGTCACTTTGATGTAGCGATCGGATAAAAAATTTAATTTTGTATAATAAAATCGTATTTAGTAACTCGATTCAAAAATATTTATTTAAGAGCGAAATAAAATTAAAGAGCTCAGTAATTTTTATATGACTGCATTTATTTTATTTCCGCATGGGCTAATTTTATTACGCGTTGACATGATATTTTCGCAAATTTAATGTTACGATACATTTTTAAAGGCGCAATTAGAGACAGCGAAATGGCACTAAAATCTTTTAATAAGTTATTATTTTATTCGTGTCAAACACACGATAACATATCATAAAAATAAATATATCATATCTTCTTGTGTCAGGTCAGGTCATAATATTCGAATTACATCCAAGTAATTAGATCACACACGAAATAGAATTATCAGAAATAGTACTATTCTGGCTCGCAGATATATTATCATTATCAATCTTGATGTAAGTCAATAATTGACGTTCGAATTTACTTCGAGTGCATGTAGTACAACTTGAAAATATACGAAAGCATATAAAATATTACTCGCATCCATTTTCAATTTCTTGCCTCGGACGGGTGAACGTTATGTAGAAGATGGATCAGCCGCGAGTATTCAAGAAAATTCGACGAATATCAATCGGGCGTGTACACACTTTTTTTTCGAGCATTGAATAATCACTTCGAAACGTCGATAACGATTGAGTTTTATGATAGCTCGAATCGAAGTGTATATAAAAATGATCCGAAAGAATATTATTTTTCTCGTGTAATGATGAATTAAAGCCCGTCGTAATCAATAAGCTGTCGCAACTATGAAACATACATCGAAGAAAAACCCAAGGACCATATTATAACAGCGAGTGACTTTGCGCCGATTTATGCATCGTATATAATATATTTCGTCCGTTCGGTATATTATATGGATACACGTGTTCGCGTAAATGCCTCCTTTGTGCGGGCGAAAAAAAAACCTGCCGCGTGCAGCTCGACGAGTCTTCTTCTTCCTTTCGGCTCGGCGAACATCTTATTATTTTTTCCCTCCCATATAACGCCGCGTATACTACATATAATACAGACACAGAGAGAACATAGATGGAGCAGAGGACAAAGCAGCGAGGATTCTTGTGTATGACTTATAATTTCTTTCTTCGCCGTCCTTCATTGCGAATACAAATGGAAAAGAAAATTGTTTTCGAGCTTCGGACTGATTATCACTTCTTTTCTTTCTTTCTTTTTTGACCTGCCATAGTCGGATCATTTGTCAGTGTCTCGAGAAAATCGAGTGCGAGAGCAACAGCTTGAGGGTCAAAAGAAAACAATAAACAAAAAAAGCCGTGTATTAAAATATGTATGAAAAAAAAAAGAATCGATCGATCTCTATCGCGAATCAAAATCCATCCGCGCGAGCTTTTTTCTCCCTCTTTGTTTATGCATTCGGTCAGAAATAACTCACGAGATTCCTAAGGCGTAGCAACAACTCGGTCGGCGATCGGCGTTGTAAGCACATATGATTCATGTTCATGTTCCATTCAGAACTTTACACCCTCGTGTAGGCACAGAGAGAGAAAGTTGGGATCCGCGAGCGAGCTAGTTTACTTTCTACGTGTTGTACCATTATATACGTACACAATGTTATAAGGAGCTGCGGAGAATCGAGAAGGCCTCGAGAGTTTTGTTTTCATAACGCGGCCGGCCTCTGTATCCAAGTTTCCTCTCTGCGCCTGGTGTACATTTTCCCTTTTACGTAATGCACAATCAATCGCGCCTCGGCGGCCGGGCGCCACAAGAGAGATATATATATAGGTACACGTAAAATATAAAATTACCTAATTAATCGGGTGAGGCCGCAGCGCAGACTGGGATCGTAAAATAGATCGTGTTGCGTGTCGAGCTTGCGCGGCGCGGGGGTGTGGGGTATTATGTCAGTGAGCTGCTGATCTCCGTGGCGGTGGTGACTGGTACGGTGCTTTGATTTCGCGCAGATGAGTCCGCGTTATGCTCGTTACGAACGATCTTCTCCTCTGAACAGATAATGGACGCTCGAGCGGGGGGGCCACTTGAAAAATACTTTTTGTTGTCGTCGACGTCGGACCGTTCCCGGGGGCTCCTCTTTGTCTGTCGTCGATTTTCCCCGATACATCGATGACAAAGACAGTAGTAGAGGACAGAGAGAGATATATACACGCGTAAAAGGAGGTAAAAAGTCCACTGCAGCTGGGAGATTTCGTTATAGAATTTCCTGTGTATAGCGCAAACGAAAGAAAACCATAACATATAGATTGATCCGGGACTTTTTTGTGTCTTACTTTTCGTCATTTTCGTTGTTGCTGTACAGCTCGTGCAAAAATCTGTTTTTCTTATTTTGCGCGTATTCTATGAACGATTTATTTGTATCTAGGCACGAGTTTGGCAAAAAGATTCATGTAAAACACAATCATATTGGCTAAATTTTTATTAAAATTTTAGGAAAACATCCATATAAATATCCATATATATTTACAATTTTCAAGAAAAAAAAATCGCGCTTTTTATTATTTCACTGACGAAATGCTTTCTATTCTTTGAGAACAATGACTGCAATGAGTTGGAGACAAATTCATATATGTAGGTAATCAATTATTCATAAAGACTGGTTTATCATCTGACGTGAATTTTTGATTATGAAAATAATAAACTTGAAATATTCGAAAGTTCATACAAAAGCAAAGCGATAAGCTTTGTTGGCTTTCCGACCTTCATGTATTGCATTTTGGTGTCTAATCAAGTTACTTATATCACTAAATTTCTTTTCGCACTTTTCGCATGCGTAACTTTTTCGTTTCGTTTTCGTGAACTGTTCTTTGGTGCGAGTGCAAATTTGATTGAAATCCAAACTTCTTTTCGCACTTATCACATCCGTAATGTTTGCGACCTTCGTGGATTGTTTGTTCTTTGATGGTTGAGCCAATTTGATTTTCGTGTAAATACCTTCTCGCACTTTTCGCATGCGTAACTTTTTCGACCTTCGTGAACTGTTCTTTGGTGCGAGCGCAAATTTGATTGAAATCCAAACTTCTTTTCGCACTTGTCACATCCGTAATGTTTGCGACCTTCGTGGATTTTTCTTTGGTGGTTGAGCCAATTTGATTTTCGTGTAAATTTTTTCTCACACTTGTCGCATGCATAATCTTTGCGACCTTCATGGACTGTTTTTTGGTGTCTAAGAAAAGCTGATTTAAATCCAAATTTCGTTTCACAACTGTCACATCCGTAATCTTTGCGACCTTCGTGGATTGCTTTTTGATGTTTAAATAAAGCCGATTTATATATAAATTTTTTCTCGCATTTGTCACATTCATAATCTTTGTGACCTTCGTGGACTGTCTTTTGGTGTAAGAAAAAATTTCGTTTTTTTCCAAATTTCTTCTCGCACTTGTCGCATGCGAAATCCTTTCGACCTTCGTGAACTGTTCTTTGGTGGAAGAGCAAATTTGCTTGAAATCCAAATTTCTTTTCGCATTTGTCACATCCGTAATCTCTTCGACCTTCATGGATAGCTTTTTGGTGTTTGATTAAATTGCTTCGTACACCAAATGTCTTTTCGCATTTGTCACATGCGTAATCTTTGCGACCTTCGTGGACTGTTTTTTTGTGTAAGAGTAAATGCGGTTTTTGTCCAAATTTCTTCTCGCACTTGTCGCATGCGTAATCTCTACGACCTTCATGGACTGTTTTTTGGTGCATACGCAAAGTCGGTTTTTGCCCAAATTTCTTCTCACACTCATCACATGCATAATCTTTGCGCCCATTGTGGACTGTTTTTTGGTGTTTGATCAAATTGCTTCGTACACTAAATATCTTCTCGCATTTGTTGCATGGGAAATCATTGCGATGCCCATGGACTGTTGTCATGTGCATGAGCAAATTTGATTTTTGCTCAAATTTCCTTTTACTATTATCGCATGCGAAATCTTTCCGACCCTCGTGTACTGTCTTTAGGTGCAAGAGCAAACTGGGTTTAGTATCAAATCTCTTTGCGCACATTTCACATAAATAATTTTTGAAAACTTCGTGGAATATTTTGTTGTGCTTGAGTAATGTTGATTTATTTTCAAATTTTCTCTCGCACTTGTTGCATGTAAAATTTTCGCGATCTTTGTGTTTTAATTTTTGATGAGTAAACAAACTCGATTTTTTCACAAATTTCTTCTCGCACTGATCGCATGCAAAATCGTTGCGGCCTTTGTGTTCTGATATTTGGTGTCTACTCAAATGACTTCGGAACTCAAATTTCTTTTCGCACTTGTCGCATAAATAATCTTTTTGTTCATTGTGAATTATGTCTTGATGTGTTATCAAACTTGATTCTAGTGTAAATGTCTCTTGATAAATACCACAATGGTATTTTTTGTCGTCTGAAACAACAATGTCCTGTTCACTTGAATTATTTTCCAAGACAGCTACCTCGAATTTCTTCTCACTTTTATCCATTTTGGTACTTAAAATAAACGATGGATTGATCTATTTAGTATTACAGAAATTTAATGAATAAAATTTATCTTTTGATTTGATAACTGGTTTTAGATTGAGAAAGACAACATTTAAAGTGATTTGTTTCTATATAATCTTAATCAGTCATGTTTAAGGAATGATGTCCAATTTGCTTATGATCGTATTGTTTACAATTAAGTTACCGATTTATCTGTTTATACATTGCTTTCCCGATTTAAACCAGTTCTAGCTTGAAGACTCGATAATCGGGGTAAGGCAGCGAGGGGGAGCTGGAGGACTCTTATTTTAATCATCCAAAAGATTATAAAACTGTATGATAATGGATCGACGTTCGTACATATCACGATGTTTCCTTTAAAATTACTCCTACTTAAATACTAAAATTTTACTTTTTCTCTTTTGGTTTTCAAATATTTGATCACATGCCATCTAGTGGTAATTCATGTACTATTTTGCGTGCCTGAAAAAGAGAGTCAACATACAAGGAATACAAGGAAAACATGCTTGTAAAATTTCAGAATAAAGTAAAGTTTTGTACTTTTGGAGCATAATGCGTTTTCATTTTAATGTACCCTTGGTAGAAATCGAACCTTTTTTCGGCATTAATGAAACGAATTAAGGACCATTTATTGGCCAACTCCCCGAATCGGTCATTTAATGGCCAATAAATCGTCAACAAAACGTTTCATTCATACTCTGAAAGGTTAAATTTCTGCTAGGGATATGTTCAATGTCGTATAAAGTCACATTGGTCATGTACATTCGCAGAATATTCACTTAAATTTTAATACTCGAACCACTTAATTAGTTTTAATATTGGTACTTTATTTTTCAAATAAAAATCATTGGTTTTCAAAAGTACTACAGCAAACATTAAAGTAAATATTATGTAAAAAGTCATGAAGGGTAATTTAGAAAATTAGGTCATTAAAAGCACTTCGGTATGCCATAGAATATTCCGATACAAACATATCTATTGAAAGTGCTTCAAATTTACAGTCGTATGAATTATTTTCCACTCTTTTGAAATTGATAGATGTACTATTTTGATCGAATTGACTACATTTATTTGTTTCGCTCGAAAATTTTTCGATTGACTTACCTAATTTAAACATCTAATTCAATAAAATCTTTTTTTAACACTGCGTGCGCGAAACACGGGCTTTCTAACCTTAAATCGTCAGAAAACCCTAGTTTCTCGCAAGCAGAGTTAAAAAATATCGTTTGCAACTAGTCCGCGAGGAAGTTGACTCACCCAGGAGTCTTTGCACCCTCGCTACGCTCGGGTGTAAACAACTCCTGGATGAGTCAACTGCTTCGCGCACTTGTTACAAAATATACTAATCTGCAAATATCATATAATTTTACTGAAATTAGTTCTTTCAATCCAATAAATAATTATAATTACTGTAAAATATTTAATAATAACTACTTGATAATAACTTACTTGATTTCAATTATAAAAATACAGTCGATAAAATTGAGCGCTTCGTGCATGTTAATAATAACATTTTTTAGGTATTTATTACGATTTTTTGAAGCTACTAATTATATTTATCTATATAGAATAAATATTTTGCCCTGAAGATTCAATTTTTGAAGTAAACCAACTTATGATCAAACTGTTCCCGATTTAGTTAAATTTGTTTCAATAAATTATACTGAATCGACGGAACATAATTTATTTTCTCAGTGTGCCAGTATAGAGATGGAAAATGAGAAACAAAGATGCGTTTTGGAAGGAAGAAGTATGTCAACATCAAACGATCGCGCGCCGCATTCGACTTTGTATTATACACTTCGAACGAGCCATTCGCAGACTTTTCTGTGTATGATCAGATACGATTTGCCTCTAACGGAGAAAAATGAGAGAGAAAGACGTCCGCGCGCCGGCAAGAATATAAAAAGCTGCAGAAGCAAAAGTATCGTTTCGATCCGTCGTACGCACGCACCCGTATATAGTAAAGCTCCTCGTGCTGTGCAAAAGCCCGCGCCAGATCGACCGAGCTTATTATTGTTGCTGGGTATTTTATATCCGCTCGTGTATCGTCGAGCGATTCTTTTTTACGCAGCGGCGATAATCGACGTTCGGCGTTTCTGCGCGTAGCAGCTGCAGCATACCGAAAGACGTATGCGCGTAATTTTTTTCGTCGTGATTTACTCTCGATCTTTAGCCATGCGCCGATTCTCGACTACGATACTCAAGGTACACGGCGCTGTAATTTCAATTTTTACTCTCGTACTTTCACGTACCGAAGTAATTCAGTTAATCATGTTAGTATAAATAAGTGGTATGTAGCACACCTTCGGCTAATTTTCTTTTTATTTATATTATATATTGACACTAAGATGTTGCGAGCCGAGAGCTAATAAAGTGTCCCTCATAAAGCTCAACTCACACACGGGGTTCGGCGTGGAATACAATAGGACGCGTGAAACGCAATTGTCGTATATCGTCGTATCGAATTGCTAATGACGATTACTCGAGCTCGAGCTTTATTCATTTTATCGATGTATCCGCTCGCTATATACTTACGGTATTAAAGTCCACAAACCGTGGGTAAAACTATATCATTGGCTTTGTCTCTCGTTCGCGCACTTCGTGCCTCGTAAATAAATACTGTATATATAAACGCGTGTGTGCGGTATTACCACGCGTAAATTAGCTTCTCTGTACGTACATTGTAAATGTGCATCTCTTATAAAATCTCGTGGTTCACTCAACGCTGCTATACAGACTCGTACTCGGAGAAAATAGCCATCGATGATTATTATTTTTCCCCGATTCCTCGAAAAGATCGCGTATACATACAAGCGAATGGAAAACCGGTACAACGAAATACGCGTATATATAGTGTACAGAGCTTCGCGCTTCGTATCCAACTCGTCTATCGCGTGTTATACGCGGCGAGCTTTTGTGCTTGCGGCGTCATATGCGCGCGCGCCAGCCAGCGAAAGCTCGTCGCCCCTCCTCCCGTGGCATGCAGCGCGGCGAGCATCTATCGCACACACAGCGCGTATACTGCTGGGTTTTGCGTCGGCGAAATATATACATGTATATATGGACGGCGCTGGATCCTAATGCTCGGCCGCCGCGCGCTGCCGAACCAGCGCCAGTTGTCGCTCCGACGCCGCAAAGACGCGATCCTCTCGCACACGCTCGCGCCCTTGTGCGATCCGACTCTGTATTCCATGGGGTATCCCTGTAAGCTGTGATCGTGATAGTAATAATCGTGTTTCGTCGACTTAGAGAAGTTGAGATAAATGTCGAGATCTACGTTGTAACCAACGAGGGTGTGAAAATCGTGACTATTATCGTGAGAAAATAAAAATTTTTTGTCGGTGCCGGGTGTCTCGTCAATCCGTTGAGGCACGAGGGAGACACAGCTGCCAAGTGCGCCGCGCCACGGTATGAATTTTTGACAAACTCTCTCGCTTGCTCGGTCGCAAGCTCCTGCGTTGCTATATAAAGTAACGTGTGTCCGCGCGCTTGTGTCCGTGTGTGCGTGCGAGCTGCACCTGTTGCTTTTGAAACATCGTCGTCGTCGTTGCGAAAATCGTCGCGCCAAATGTGTGTCAGTGTGTGCGCGTAAGTGTGCTACACAGAGAGTGCGATACCGAAAAAATAAATAACTGAGGCTGCCGATGGTACCGTAGGCGAGATTCGTCGTAGCTACATTTTAACGTCGTCATCGTCGTCGTCGACGCCGCCGGGGGAGCGTATCGCCGGCTCAGCGGAGCGTAGAAAATTCGACAGGTAAGGATGCATTTTCGCACGTATCGAGAGAGTATAATCGACAAACTTCCGGCGAGGAAAAAAATCGAAACTTATATATGAATGCGTCAGATATTTTTCACGATCGGAAATCCTTTAAATGAAAATCGCTCATTACATAATCCTTTTTTATTCGCAATTACGCGTCATTTTTCCCCTCGTTTCTGCATGCCTCTATCTATCTTCTATGTCTACGACGTTAATTCGCATCTTCGATATCTACAAGTGCGACGAGCGTACACGATCTCACCACCACCCCCACAGAGAGCCCAGAGGTAGTGTAAGCGCGCGAATCCATTGGCTTCGATACGTTCGAGATTCGTTCTTAACCCGGATAGATAAGCTGAGAAATGTTAAGCTTCTTCTTCTTCCTCGTGGCACCAAACGACGAGATTTACTCGGTCGTGCGTTAATATAAAGAGTCGGTGCGATGCACCGGGGCGAGATAGTAAACAGAAGCTGCTGGGAAAAAGCTCGACTCCTCCTCCTCCGACGCGAGACGCAATTGCGACAACGGACGGCAGCAAAGCAGCAAAGCAGCAGTGCGAGATCGACAAGGTGTGTAGCCCCTGCTGCACTATATATATATAATGTGCACAACACCGGAGAGTAAATTGGTACATCGAGCTAGAGAGAGAGAGAGAAAGAAAAGTAAAGACAAAAGAGGAGGAAAAAAATGCCGGCGGTAGTGCTGCTGTTGCTACTGTGCGTGCGTCTTATATATTATTATATATATAAAAGGAAGCAAAATTTACGGCGCACTTAGCTTGTCAGTTTCTCTGGGGCAGTACTGAGCTGCACGGCGGCTATAAGGCAAGTCGAGGCAAGTTGAGCAGCAGCGCACAGTCGACGAGACACGTGCGATAAATCAGTCCTCGACACTTTACTTTACTTCTGGTATCTTGGCCGGAGCAATGCAGGCAGGCAGACGCATATACACACACACACATATATACACGGCGCTTCAAGAGCAGCAGCAGCGACGCAAGACTCGCAGGAGCATGAAGAAGCAGAACTTGGCACTTTTTTTTTGTTAGGCTGCTGCCGCTGACGCCGTCGCTGCTGCTGTTGGCTGTTGCCTAAGTCAACGAGAAAGAAAAAACTTGTTTCTTTGTTTTTTCTTCTTTTGCTCTCGGGTTAGGGCTGTCGACGGCGTCGGTGGTGTCGCGCGCCTGCCTCGACTTTTGTTGCGTAACTTAATTAAATGCATCGTTCACGCGCGGATATATATCGCCCCGCTGCACCGCACATAAGAGCTCGTGCACATCTGTGCCTCGCGCGTCACGATATCACAACTTCGGTGCGCGCCTACTTCGCGCGCGGCTGTATATCGTATATCATTTTATTAGGTATCTGTCGGGAAATGGAAAGTGAAAAGAAAGAAAAAAACGAAAGGGGCTGGAAAAAGATGCGGTTATATATCCATAACGGAATCGAGAGGTAGAAAATCGCGCTAAGAAATTGACGTAAATAATATCGATGTATAAATTACCCCCCTTATGTTGAGCTTGCAGAAAAGCAAAAGGTACATATAATTAGCATAAGCGAACGACGACGAGAGAGAGAGAGAAATAGGAGACGACCCCTTCGCATGCGAGCAAGAGCCCTCCTTCTGCCTCCTCCTCTCGGCTCGCAAGCTCATAATACATACGTATAATACACGCGAGTACAGAAGCCGCATTTAATCCGAGAGAGAAGATTTTTATCTCAGAGGGGAAAAAATAGTAATACCTGCGAGTGGTATGTGGTTTTTTTTTAAGTACACTTGTATACGGATAAAAGAAAGAGAGAATTTTAAGCTATATCCTATTATACACATGATAAAGAGATACAATGCACACACACACACACACACACATACACACACATGCGTATACAGTACACGAGAGCACAAAACGGAAACGACTTGGTGTGCACGGTGAGCTCGCGAGCTCGTTGCCACTACCACACCACATGTTGGACGAGAACAGGAAAAAGTCTTAAATTTAGCAAAGCACGCTAAACTGCTCGTGGATACTCGAGCTGCGCGCGAGAGATGCATTATTGCCTTTTTAGTCGAAAGCAGCGAGGAAAGAACGAACAAAAATAATTCAAGCGCGATTAAAACGCACGCACGCAAGGAATTAATATCCAAGAAAATTAATGAAATTAATATTTTATTATTTACTTTGCGGATAACGCCTTTGCAGCCGTCGCCAAAAACAAAATGCCCCATCCATACAGCTCAATTGTTTTTCACGGACTCACTCGAATCATTAGAAGTTTCACTTCGAAATAGTTGTGAGCTCGATGCAATAATTTCTCGTGTTTCGCCAACGATCACCATGATTTCGTCCTCTAATACCCGAACTAAGAACCGAACTCGTTACATTGCATATTCTAAGCATCACATTATATACACTAAGCCGCACTGCCGATGAATGGGTTCGGGAGCAAGAGGTTTCAATAATATATTATATTGGCAATCCTACGCACGGCCACAGTCATACATCTGGTACGCTCAATCATTCATCGCGCTTCCTTTTGCTCCTCGCGCGCACAGTCACTTCAGATGCAAGACCGTCGGATCGATGATTCATAAGCACGCGTGCATATTTGTATATATAAACACAAGCGACGCCCAGCAGCATATGCAGCATGTAGCAGCGGAGTATTCAGAAGCAGCACTGAGCAATCGAGTCCATTCGGTCAGTATTTGCCAAACCAAATGGAGGAGATTCGTTAGAGTATGCTTGTTAGAGAGAGAGAGAGAGAGAGAGAGAGAGAGAGAGAGAGAGAGAGAGAGAGAGAGAGAGATGAAGCCGCAGTAGCTGCTCTGCGTTTACATATACATGGAGCATATAATACCGATATGGTGCCGGGGCACATTTTCCGTCCTGCAAAGCTCTCGGTATACCGACTATATATAGTGAATCGCCGTCGTCGTTAGTCGTTTTAATAAGCGCAGCAGCGACGCCATACGTGCTACAATATTTACCCAGCATATACAACATTGCACAAACGCCGCGTGTTTTTGCTTACGCGCACGCCCGCGCCCATACGAACGCTACATTTACACGTTGAGTAGATCGCGATTTGCTGTATACATGCCTTTACATGCGTTATGCGTACAAATACACTCTGCATCGGGTAGAGGCAGAGTTGAATGGACTGCCTTCAATTTGCTTCCCGAGATTCGAGAGCACAGTTCAGCCTCGTGCAGCGCGGTACTCCAAAGTTATGCCGCGCATGAGTTTCAGCTATGAGCGACGCGCGACTCGCGGATATGTGTATATAGTCGTGCGTGTGCGTCGTCGATCGAGAAAGCGCCTCGTGTATACATAAACACACACATACACAGCTCCCGCGATGACAATTACACGGTGCGATGTTTGCTCTCGAGATTGGCGCTTTTGTGCATTATAAATATAATACACGCGCAGGGGCAGCATACCACGCGCACTCTGACTTTTATCGCTACCACCCGTGTATTATATGCGCGTAGGTATATATATGGCCGATTCTCTGTGAAATCGAATGGCCAAAAAAATTTTTTTCTGCAAATATGAAAAACTTGCTGTTCCCGATGTCAGAAATGTCCCCAAATTTTATTAGAATTTTTGGGACCATCTATCACTCTTTTTCAGGGGCCCGAAGTTGGCCATTTTAGGGTTTTTTTGAAATTCATGAAAAATCACAAATATTAAAATAATTCCTGGATTAAAGTAGAATGATTCAAAAGTAAAAGTGCCCAGCAACTTTTTTGTTGGAAATTGTCCAAATTTTCAGAAAAAAAGTATGCCAAAGTGATTGAAACAATCTAGGTAAGTGTAAAGCAAAAAAACTGCAAAAGGGACATAAATGATGAAATCTAATCGAGTTCGAACCGGACTTTCATTTCCTAAACTATGTAAAAAGCTTCCCAAAGATGTCAACTACTGCCTGATAAAGTTTTGTAATAAAAAAGTTTAACTCAATGTAGACAATAATGTATGGCGAAAAACGTGCAAAAAAGGACTGAAAATGGCTGTTTTTGGTGATTTTAGGCATTTTGGGCCTATTTTTGACCTTTTTTACACGTTTTTCGCCACACATTGTTGTCTACATTGCGTTAAACTTTAAGGCCCATTACAAAACTTTATCAGGCAGTAGTTGACATCTTTGGGAAGCTTTTTACATAGTTTAGGAAATGAAAGTCCGGTTCGAACTCGATTAGATTTCATCATTTATGTCCCTTTGGCAGTTTTTTTGCTTTACACTTACCTAGATTGTTCCAATCACTTTGGCATATTTTTTTTCTGAAAATTTGGACAATTTTCAACAAAAAAGTTGCTGGGCACTTTTACTTTTGAATCATTCTACCCTGATCCAGGAATTATTTGAATATTTGTGATTTTTCATGAATTTCAAAAAACCCCTAAAATGGCCAACTTCGGGCCACTGAAAAAGAGTGATAGATGGTCCCAAAAATTCTAATAAAATGTGGGGACATTTCTGACATCGGGAACAGCAAGTTTTTCATATTTGCAGAAAAAAAATTTTTTTGGCCATTCGATTTCACAGAGAATCGGCCATATACGCTAATACACGAGAGAGAGAGAGAGAGAGAGAGAGAGAGAGAGAGAGAGAGAGAGAGAGAGAAAGGGAGGAAGGAAGGAAGGAGGGAAAAATTAATGTACAAAGTGTCGCTGCGTTTAATATATGCCGTTGTAGCGTAGCTATACGCGTGGACGTGCGTTTACGCGTGTGTATATGTGTGCGCAATATAATAAAAAAAAAAAAAAAAAAAAATTAATGAAAATAACGACTGCGACACGATTCCGAGCTTTTTGCTTCCTAATTTTTTTGTTAATCGTAGAGCTTTGATACGCACAGCCGTGCACGCGAGACACGTCTCGACGGGTGAGCGTAAATTTTTTTTTTTTTTACGACGATGTCAACGATTCTTCTGGCAGGTCTATTAAATTAATCGGTAAGTGATTACTCTCTTTAACGATACAAAG